AGTAACAAATCTTTCAGGAAGTGACTTTGAGGAGCGGGAAGAACCCAGTATCACATGTGCAGTCTGAGAAATGAGAAGCTGGAGCTTCCCGCACGATGGACGCTTCCCTCTGCTCACGTGTGATGAAACGTCAGCGGAGTCAGAGCAGCAGACTCATTCAGAGTATTCAGAGTCCTCGACGAGCGCATCAGCCGTGATGTCAACCACCGCCTCGTAGTTTTCTTCAATGCACTGGGTCATCTCCACGGAGACGGGAAGTCTGTTTGCTGTGGGCAAAGCATCGGAATGAATGTTAGTCTCCACACATATACATACGCTGGAGACATGCTGCACCGCGGGCACCATCGTATGTCCAAGTTGGCCCACAGCAGGCCCACAGTGGGCAGCTGTGGGTGAACTGTAGGGCTGTGACTCATTACCGATGATACAGGACAATGGGTTTTAGTCTTTTAGTCGTGTCTCCATCATGTCTTCCAGCTTTGGGGTCTCCAACTCCAGTCCTCAGAGCTACCGTCCTGCAGCTTTTAGATGCATCCTTGTTCCGACACACCTGAATCAAATGAATGGCCTGTTACCAGGCCTTTGCCCAACTCGATGACACGCTGAAGAGGTAATTCAACCAGTTGATTCAGCCATTTCTCTGCATTAAAGCTACAGGACAGTAGCTCTCAAAGACTGCAGTTGTAGATCTCTGCTTTAAACCGTGCAGCTCTGGAGGTCTGTGCAGCTACAGATCAGGCGTGTGCACCTTTTACTGCACCAGGTCACAGTTGAAGCGCTCACAATCAGGTTCCAACTTCTTAAAATAGTTTCAGACACTAGAAGCTGTTACCTTTGGTTCTTGTCTGCTGTTATTTGGGTGTATAAAGGTTAGCATGTGAGCCTAACCCTGGTTAAGAGCGGTGAAATATCAGATTAAAGCTATGGTTTGGCTTTAGCAGTCCGGTTACTGTAATAATTAAAAAGGCAGTGCAGACGTTTGTGATTTTACAGTCAGAGCTGCCAGCAGGACAGCAGCAGTGATGCACCTGTGTGCAGGTATCTACCTGAGCGCCTGGTGGCCAGCCGGTCCAAGCAGATGGACAGCAGCAGGCCGGTGGTGATGGAGTAAATACAAAAGGCCAGCAGGTGGGAGAGGAGTCTCAACACAGGCACACAAGAAGGAGCAGGAGGAGGAGGTGAGGAACAGTTGGTGGGAGGAGGAGGAGGGGGAAGAGAGGGGAAGGGGGACATGGTTTCACGAGAATGGACAGATGATCTGACGGAGGTCGTCGGGGGATCTGCAGGAGAGATAAGCAGGCGTCCTCAGTTCATTCACTCAGGGTTCGATAGAAAGGCTCAATGTGAGCGGTGCAGCGAGGCTACACCACAAACACAGGCTTTCATCTCCATCTATTAGTAATAGATGCTGAAGAGGAGCGTGCTAGTTATTACTAGAGATGGACCGATCCGATATTACGTATCGGTATCGGTCCGATACTGACCTAAATTACTGGATCGGATATCGGAGAAAAATAAAAAATGTAATCCGATCCATTAAATATCATGAAAGCACCTCACAAAACTTGCAACACGCCGTAACTCACCTCAGAACGTTAGCACGTCGGAGCAGTATGCATCACGTGATAGAGCGGCTGTGGCATGCGGGACCTGTCGGTGGTCTGGATAGCATGTGGAGCTTCGCTAGCAACCCGGCATTTCATCTCCGACAAAGTTATCCCCGAGAGAAGTAAAGCAAGTGTGTAAGTCCATCTCTGAATGTTTGTAAAGCATTCCTGCGTTAAGCTTAACGAGCGACTGCCTCTTCTTGCTGCTACTTCAATCATGAAACTGCTTAATGATCAGCTGATCGGCTTTTCTGTCGCGAGTCCGTGTCTCTTGTTTGCTTTTGGCCCACTTTGCACCAGAAAGAGGAAACCAGTGGCTGAACAACAGCAGCACGTTTAAGCTTGATCAGCTGTTGTTAGAATTTATTTAATATTACTTTCTACACCAGGATCTTTTTCTACGTAGCTGACGGCTGTAACTGTGCAGGGGCGGATCTAGCAAAGTTTAGCCAGGGGGGCCGATAGGGCATGAACAGGGAAAAGGGGGCACAAAGACATACTTTTCTTTCTTATTCTCATTTAAAATGTCGAGCTTTTAATAAATAATTATCTGACACCCAAAGTTTTAATTTGATGTAAAATGAATAGAAGTCCATTACTGTATATAGTAACTATTAAGTCTAATATACCCTAGTAAGCTATAGTACTTTTTCCTTTGGGAAGGTACCATCTGTGCAGTCTGCAATTTTGTTGAAGAAAGATGTTGAATCTATTTAATATTTCTTGAAAAATAATTGATTTCTGTGCATTTTTTTCACACTGCATCAAATTAAGGTTGATTACGTCGATTAAGCATCATGAGGTGGAGCGTGAGGGGTGGTTCCCTATTTTTTATTTATTTATTTTTGTTGTTGCTGGGAGTTGGAACCCTATTAGTTAGGTTGCTTAATATTTACGCTAAGTACTCTTTAAAATACCAGAATAGGGAGGATGGTGTAGGTTTAAGTTTATTAGATTGATCAGTATTGCTGAACTATGAAATTTTTTTTTGCATACAGGTATAACAGAATAGCTTTAGTGTAGTTGTTGTTTTAAACTTGAGTATGAACTTATACAAAATGCAGCAAGATATTTTAAAAAACAGTTTTGTTGATTAAAAAACACTATATCGGATTCATATCGGTATCGGCAGATATCCAAATTTATGATATCGGTATCGGTATCGGACATAAAAAAGTGGTATCGTGCCATCTCTAGTTATTACAGCATTATTGATCGTGATTATAACCACAGCCAAATCTCAGAGTGATGAATTCTCTCTCTTTGCCCCACCTCCTCTCCATCGAGGTCAAGGACATTAGAAAAACACAAAAGAGGCCCAATTTATGATGACAGCAAATGATGTCAGTGTTCTGACCTCTGACCCTCAGGTAGCTATGAGCAGATGATCCACTCAGATCAGTAGCACACCAGTAGAAACCCTCATTAGACTGCTGCACGTTAGAGATGGTGTGCTCTTTATGTCCAGATACAAGACGACGTCCACTGTAGAAGAAGTAAGCTGCCACTGTGTCACCAGTGCTGAGCCTGCAACGCAGAGTAAGATTACTTCCTTTTGTCACAGGAAGTGCCGGGATCTCCAGGATCACTCCTTTTTCTGGGTAAGAGAGACAAAAGTACACACATGTAGACTGGAAGCTTCTGGAGACAGCATGCAGGAGGTCAAATGATGACGCCATAGGACTGAATTCATGAACGTTCATCATCACAGACTATAAATGATGGTGTGGCCACTGCAGTCTGACCCTCTGCTTTTATAATGATCACTCAGAGGCATTTTCTTCTTGCTGTGATGGAGAAGAACAGATAGCTAGCATAGCTGTCAAGCTGCTTCCATAGACCATACTGATGTTTGCTAATCAGTGCTACATATCGTCCAAATTAAAACTGGCATTTCACTGAAGTGCAGCACAAACTTCTGAGACAGTCTGTTATTACAATTAACTAACCAGCAGCCATCCTATTGGTCCAAAAGCATAAACACGGTCCAGAGGTAACTTTGCTAGCAACCACAGCTGCCTGTCAAAGCCCCGTCACTGAAAGAGGCCACGCCCCCACCGAAGAAACTTTAATACGGTTTAAACAGGTGAGTAACAAAAACATTCTCTCCCGTTTTATTGTTACGAAGGGCAAAATTAGATTCACTTATTTATTTATTAGATATTTTAACATGAGAGCCTGTGAGGGCTAACGCCCTGCTGGAGCCTCTGGTGGACATTACAGGAACTGCAGGAACTTTCAGCCCCGCAGGTCGATGGCTGTTCTGTACCACAGTGCAGCAGATTTAACACCATCTAGTTTAGTTTAGCAGTGAGTTCTAAGTATTTAAGTATCTCCTAATTACAAGTATTTTAAGTATATCAATGTTTTCTAGCCTAAAGAATCCAAAACAATAAGAACAAAAATCTGAGACATTAATTGAAACATATTAAAACAATATGAAAGTAAAATTCAGACAACGTGTCATTTGAAGTATAAACTGGATTCTTACGGCTCATCTCCACATAAGCACCACATTGTTGATCTATGGATCAAGCTGTTATTCACACATTCAAGGTGCTTTATGCTAAATGCACCTGCACCTGCATATATATAAAAATAAATATATGGTTGTACTTCACCTGTCACAGGTGGTCCTGATACTGCCCTTAAATGTTCAGAGCAACTGTGGAAAAAAAGAAGAAAAGAAACAACTTACTTTACCTGAAACACTGATGATGATGTCATCACTCTTCTGCCCAGAACTGGTTTCACACCAGTAAATCGCTGTGAAGGTTGTTTTAAAGTCCTGAACACACGAGGACTCATCAAGTCTAGTGAAGTCCGCCGCTGCTCCACACTCATCAGTCTGGTTTCCTCTGGTCCTCCTCACCGTCCATCCATCATCACAGCTCAGAGACACTGGAGAGGATCCGCTGAAGACCTGCTGAAGGTTTGGACTGACAGACAGAGACACTGGAGGACACACAAACAGACAAACACACAGAGTAAGTGTATTTGTGTTCTTGTTGGAGTCTCACTGATTGTTTTCACTTCATCTCCTCACCTGCAGAAACAGTCGGTGCAGACAGCAGCAGCACACACACACCTGCAACAGGAAAATCCACAGAGTTTCACCTAGAGGTGCACACTAACAGTGTGGCAGACGTCCACAGATCAGGAAGAAGACTGGACCACCCGGGACAAAAGACCGATGTTTTCTTGGTTCCACATTCCTCACTATAAAGCACCTGAAGTACTGCTGAATCATCACAGCCAGATTGCTTTCAGCTTTTAGATCATTGTGTAAGTTTCCTCATACGGGACAAAATATAAAAACTTTAAAGGTTTCAAAAACCTTCCGATCCCAGTTCCTGGTTTTCTTTCCTCATTTGTAATATTTATTGTGTCCTTTGTTGTTTGTGTCTATATTAAGAATAAACATTTAAAAAAACAAGCACATCTTTTACAGAGACCCTGACTCTAAACTACAGACCCTGCTGAGCATTAAACATTTCTGATTGGATTATTTTCTGGATTTACACAGAACAGAAAGGAGCCGACTTCCTGTTTTCTCCCCCGACAACACGGAGTAAACTCTCAGGATTCATCCAGTGTCCGTCCTTTACCTGGAGCTGGACTCACTGAGTGGGTGAGTGGGTGTAGGAGTTGTGTGTGTGACTCACCGGGGAGCAGAGCCACAGGTGCAGTCTTCATGGTGTCTGGATGAGCACCGAGGGTCAGTGTGAGCTGCAGACTTTCACTTCAGCTCTTTCACAGCCGCCTGTTACCACATTAAAGACGGAAGCCTCAGTATAAGGAGGGGAAACAGGAGCAAAGGTCTGAGCTCTCAGCCAATCACGTTCAAGTACAGCCTTCTTAAAACTGACCTGCAAACGCTGCAGTTTAGAAATCCTTCGCGAGCTGTGAGAGTCTATCAGAGGTCCTTCAGTCAGTCTGAAGAAAACACAACAGCTGAGATTGTTAGTCTATAAACAAACTGCACCACAGTCACATGACGGCAGCGTCGCCACCTCTGAGCCAATGAGTTCCTGCAGCTCAGAAGCTGCTCACCTGCTCACATCACCTGCTCACATCACCTGCTCACATCACCTGCCTGAGTTCAGAGGCTTCTCTTTGGATGCACACACAGAGCTGCAGACCACGTCTGACCAGCAGTGACTGGTTTGAATCTGACCTCCAGCTCTTCTGCTGGACCTCTAAAGTGGGTCTCGTGTCCAGACACGAGTGTTTTTAACTCTCAGTGGCTCGTGTTGGACAGGAGATATGTGAAATGTGCCAGAGTGAACTGGATGAAAATAAGAAGTAAAACAAGCCCACAGTGAGTCAGTGTGGGTGAGCTGTGGCCAGGACAAACCCACAGTTAGTCCACATGATCCCACCTACATTTTACTAAACCTATAGGCCTTTATGTGTGAAACTGCAGGGGCCCTGTGGGTGATAACTGTGGGTTTGGGTTTGTCCTGCCCACAGCTCACCCACACTGACTCACTGTGGGCTCAGGAGGACACGTTAGCCGGGGCATTATTATTTATTATAAAATAAAAGATGAAGCCAGAGAAGATGTTTTATTACACGCTCAGAAAATCGATGCTAGGAAGAAAGAAAAAAGAAAGAGAAAGAAAGAAAGAAAGAAAGAAAGAAAGAAAGAAAGAAAGAAAGAAAGAAAAGAAAGAAAGAAAGAAAGAAAGAAAGAAAGAAAGAAAGAGAGAGGAAGAAGAGGTTAGCTTTAAAGGGGAGGATGCTCATTTAAAGCTTTGGTGTGAGTCCTCGTGTTTAAATTACGTTATGTTTGTTCACACTGTGAAACCTGCTGCTAAACAAACTGAGGCAGACTGACTGTGTTGTTTAAAGTCTGCATGAAAGTCGTCTGCAGGTTAGTTTGCTGCACTGTGATTGGTTTAAAGCTTCCTCCACCACTTCAACCTCTTCTCTGCCCACTTCCTGTTTCGAGGCAAAGTCAGCCTCCTCAATGTAAGAAACAGGACAGATATATTTTTACATTTTCCTTCTCTGCTCGTGTTTAACTTACCTGAGTAAAGCTGAGAATCTTTATTGGAAATATAATTTAGACTGAAACGAAGTTTGTAATTCCATCTACTGATGTTATTATATTAATATGACACAAGGTTCAGTTTAACAGCAGTATCTGTACTTCTGCTTAAGTACAGGTTGTGTGTACTTTGCCACCTCTGCTTATTTTCCTCTGTTATTGAGCCTGTCGCTAGTTAGCTAACATAAACTAAGTCTGTCATTTGCAGCCATTCGACCAACCACATCACGTCATGATGCGCACAAGATGGCGCTACACGTTTTTAAAACTTTAAGCTCTTATTTGTGAAATCCAGCCTCACAGTTATATCAGTTTTTGAGAGCAGGGCTCAGTGATGGAAATGGGCCTTTACACATTTAAGAGTGTCGCGTCCACTTTAACGGGATCCTACAACTTTAAGTGGAGTGGACACAGCTCAGAGTACGAGAGCTGATGAAGCTCACGTTCACTTCACCACCGGCCTGTACAAATAACTGTCGATGTCTCAGTCTTCCATCAAATGCCAACGCTCAGCATCATCTACAGCAGCAGCTGATTCTCAGACTGAACAGGCTTCATTTCTGTCTCTTTCTCCCACCTAGTGGTCATTCAGTGGTACTACAGATGATACGTCCCTTATAGAAGCACGAGGCCTGACTCAGTGTGGCGTCATAAGTCGCTCACAGTCAGTTCAGCTCTTTTAGTTTTGTGTTTTTGCAGTTTCAGTTTGTTAACAATCGCAGAGAAGCTCCAGAGGACCAAGAAGAAGCTCTGAGAGACACTCAGTGGACACAGGAAGTGTTGACTTAAAGTTTTGGACAGTTTTCATGTTGCACATAAAGACTTCGACCTCACAGCGACGGGTTATTAGAAGTGTGCGTGTTCTGTTTTTGAAAGCTGCAGATCATCACTCCAAAATTCTTCATCCCCTTAAAGTCCTGCTGCTGCTGCTGGGAGGCAAGTCCATCTGGCAGTTTAGTTTTTCATGCAGGTCACATCGAATGGTTTTATTTTGAAACACTTTGATGGTCTCCTCCATCCTGCCGCTCTGGGGTCAAACTGTGGGATTACCTGGGTAGGACGGTCTGATGTCCAGACCACACCCACAGGTCCTGTTCTGATGCGATCCTGCAGCCTCGATGCCTCGACTGCTCAGTCTGATCACGGGGCCGTTGATGGTGGTTGGTGATGCTTCATATTCAGCTGGATCAGTGACGGATGGACGCACTTTTACTGCAGTCACACAAATCCTAAACAGGGAGGAGACAAGCCAACAGTGTCTGTGCTCAGATCCATCAGATACTTGATAGAGCGAGGCTTCAAACAGAAGTCAAGCCAGCACAGAAGACCATGGGCTGCCCTCTCCCCTCCCTGATGGACATTTATTCCTCCTGCTGCCTCAGCAGAGCAACAAACATCATCAAGGACAGCTCCCACCCTGATTTTGACCTGTTCAACCTGCTTCCCTCAGGGAAGCACTACAGGTGCATCAGCACAAAGACCCACAGACTCAAGAACAGTTTAAGGTCTCAGTCTTATTCACAGAAGATGTTCCTGTAAGCATCCACACCATGTCAAGGTCCAAAGAAACCATGATGCTTACTGTGAAGACTACAAAAGTTTGGTTTACAAATCCAGTGCTGGCAAATAGTGCGGAGACTGTAATTGATTGTAGATCACTGTAGTGGTTAATCGCACTCCAGAGCACTCAGGATGATCAAAATAGAAAAGTTACAGATTCATGATTGAGATTGATTGTGCAGGAATGTGGGCGTGAACCAGAGCAAGGTCAAAGAAACAATAGCTCTATCAATAATATCTGTCAAGGGGCAGGTGAAGGCAGGTCTGCATCCACAGGTGAACCTGCACCCACGATGTAGGACAAAAGGAGCGCCAACAAGGAGGAGCTTCATCTGAAGCCCCGCCTTCACTCTCTGATCACACATCACTTCCTGTTCACATGTTTATGTAATCATTTTAAATCTGTACAGTACCTGATCAATAAATAATAAACAGGTAGATTAAGGTGAGTTGTAATGCAGCATTACAGTTCAGCACACACGTAGAAACATGCACGATCAAAATGTTCTTCTCTGCTGTTTGTTTAAAAAGCCGACCTTCTCTAAAGTTCTGTTTCCTGACAGTCGGCAGCTTTGACCTTTGACCCACACGAAGCTTCCAGGATATTTGTGTTTGATGGAAGCATTCAGGACGCTCCATGGATCATCAGAACACACGGAAACAGCACCGCAGCACTGAGGAACTGTGATATACATAAGTGATTTTAATGTGTATTTATTTATATAATGATCATCACAGGGCTTTCTGCAGCCCTCCACTGGATCATGGTGACGTGCATGCACCAGGTGGTTTTATGTGGTTGAGGTTTTATGCCTGGCTGTGGAAACCGTCAGTGTTCTGGCATCATTCAGCACCACTGAGTGATCACTAGAGGGAGCAGGAGACCAGGACTGAAACTGTGGCTACAGCAGGGCAGCTGTTGTGAGTCCCAGCTGTGATCTGAGAATCAGCTGGATGTGAGTAAACTAGATCAGGTTAGTGTTGGTGGATGGATTCAATAAGAGCTGGTTCTGTGTGGCTGTGTCCACTGGAGGGGTGAAGTCGGGCCGTAGAGCTCGACCACGACCACAGTCTGTTTATTCAAAACAATTCAGGTTACATTTTTAAAAATAAATCTCTTTATAGTTTCCACAAGTTCATCACACTCAGAAAATACAGTGTTAGGGAAACTGAGCCAAACCGTCCGATCCCTGAACTTCCAAGATCGGGAGTTTGTTTTCCGCTCCACAAAACAACGTAACATCGAGCACGATGGAAAGAAAGTGCATCGCAGTGAGCCGAGTTCAACATCATCAGGAAAGTGTTCGCTGCAGTTTTCAGTATAATCCATGGCAGACGATCACGATCCTCCACTATGGGAAGATACGGCTGCTTGGTAATGTGGTTTCCTTTCTCCATTTATTGTTTTTACTCTATTCAAAACGTATTTGTGAACTTCATGAGTGTGTACAGCCCAAATTCAAATAAACCTACATTTTTAAAATCAGTTATTCACTTTGCAAGGGCTTCATATACATGGACTCTGACTGTGCTCTAAACCTGAGTCTAGATCAGCAGGCTCAGATATGAAGCCAAAACCAGACAATTAATCACTCAGTTTATATTATGTATCAACAAAACCCTGATAAAACCGAATGATGTTGTCATTCGAGTCAGTATGATAACGTTTATCCATAACAACCCAAACTGGCAGTTTCAAACAAGATGGCTAGAAAATCTAAAACTGGTTAAATTCATAGAGGAGAAAACAGAAAATGACTTTGAGTTAAAGATCAAACCTGCGCCTCAGTGAGATGGAAGGATTCAAAGCATATATTAGAGGTGAAGTCCTCGGCTTTATGAGTGCAAACAGCAAAAAAATGGAATAAACGAATGAAATCTTTGGAATAAGACTTAAATATTAGCGATGAATCAAACTGTTACGTTTGAGAAGTGAATATAATCAATTATCTTCTGATACAGCAACAAAACGTCTAATGTGGTGATCTTATTATGATCAATGGGAGAAAGTGGGAAGGCCCTCGGCATGGAGTTAAGGAAAGCAGTCTTTAATAGCACAAAGACCTCTTCAGGGAATGTAACAGTAGATCCATCTGAAATTTATGACAGTTTTACAGAATTTTATGAAGATGTTTATAAATCGGAACATGCCCAAGCTTCAGAACAGGAACCTTAGCTCACGTTCAGTCATAGACACTGAGGTACTTCAGGCTATCCAAGCATTAACAGTGGTAAGGGCACCCCAGCCGGAGGCCTTCTGATTGAATTTTACAAAACTGTCCAAGAAAAATGAATAATTTCACTTTTTAACATGCATGAAGAAGCATATCAAAGTGAGGCTCTCCACCCACTGAGACGGCAATGAGTACTTGTTTACCTGGTAAACCTGCAGAGCGCTCATCACTCAGACCAACGACTCTGATGGGGGTGGACACTAAAATACTTCTATTAGACCCTTGGGTCGCACATTTAGTTAGCGTTGTACGAAAGCATCGAGGGTTTCACAACATAAGAAGGGTTCTGAGTGTAGGCTCGTCAGGCCTCGGGCAGGATAGACCGCTCAGATTTATGTAACGTTCTCCCAAGTTAGGATTTGGAGATCATTCTCTCACAGGGGTTCAACCTTTGTAACAAACAATACTTTCTAAACCCGTCACATTAGCCATCTCCTATGCTAGTTATTCTGACGATAACAATAATAACTGACCTATTTGGTGTCTCGCCCTGTAAGATGATGACCTGACCTTTTCTGACTAGGCTGTCAGCACACCAAAATTCATGCAACAAATAGAGCTATTAGGATGATTTCCTGGCTGTAATATAAATGATTAAAAACCCTCCATCCTGCTTCTGAACAAGGATGAAAGGCTCAACCCTTTAATGCTGAGTTAATGAAGTTAATACAGAATAAACACAAAGAATGCTTAAATTCAGAGAAGTTTAATAGTGTTCAGGATCAGCACGCCTCAGATTAAAGACATCTTTCTAGCATCTGCTGATAGGAAATAATACTGAAAGCAGGCCTAACAATGATCCAACTATCACAGAAATGTAGAAGACAAAATGTGTAACATCTTAATGCCAGCTGAACATCAAAAAGGGACAAAAGTCAACATTTAAAACCTCCGAGTGTTGAACGTTTCTCCCTCCAAAGACTCGGCTCAGTCCTTCTGTGCGCTCAGCCAGTTACTGAGGCAGACTATCCTGTTCACCTCCTCTGAGGACAAAGACGCACGCTTCTTTTCAGTGACGTCACCTGAGAGTGAGAATAAGGCTCTCACAGGGCACTGTGGTTGCAGGGGTTGACAGGTACTTGCGTGCAATAGTGCCAGCCTGGCATGGCTCCCTCTCTCTTTGACCACCACTGTAGAGGACACCTCCTATGTCAATTTTGGGCTCTGCTTTGTACCGATCCAGACAGCGGCCGATGGAGTCTTCCTCCTCCTCTGTATCTGAATCTGAAGAGCCCAGGAGGAAGATGGACATCTTGCTCTTCTTTGGTGACGGTTCCTCTTTTATCTGGACAGATGGTTGTTGTGCTTGTGTCTCTGCCATGAGAAGGTCATGTACCAGAGTCCACACCTCTCGTCTTTCATCTTTGGGAAGACACTTGAGGTCTTTAAACCTGGGATCAAGGGCAGTAGCGATCTTCAGCCATGTGAGATTGCTGCTGGCCCTCCGCTGAGCTAGGTCTGTGGTAAAAACCATCTTAAAGTTCACAACGTAGACTGGGTCATCATCCAAGGGCTCCATGACCCAGAACAAATGACGCAAGGCTGGCAGCACCATGGAACAGGAGACATAGCGCTCTCCCCCCAGCAGCTCGGTCACATATCTGCAACAGAAAGAACAAGTGTGTATTTTTCTACTAATCGCACAGAGACAAACACACATACCACAATATGTCAGCAAGTGATCCTCTAATTGAAAAGTATTGCAGTTACCTCACTCACTGTTAGCACTGTGTGCTGTGGGTTGGAAAATAGAAGCAAGAGCTGGGTGGGAGGGGAGAGAGCTTCACCCTGCAAAGCTTTCCCGTGTGTTGTAGGCTAACACGGAGACAGAAAACCAGTCCCCTGTAAAACCCCATCTATAATCACCTATCAACATCACATTAACTGTGTCAATCAACATCATTTCATTGAGATCACAAGCATACATTTGAATTGTGGGAGAAAATACAAACTGCACAGAATCCCAACCAGGAAGTTTGAATCCCGAACCTTCATTCAGTGAGGAAACAGCTCTAACCACTGCACCACCTGATCTCAGCCCAAACACTACAGAGGCAACTATGCTGAAACACAATCGCACAGAAACAAACACACAGGAGTGTTCTTGAAGACAGAGCTGGAACGTAGACGCGCACAAACGAGAAACAGAGTGATTTACCTGCAAGGTTCCAGCAGCTCCTCCAGCTTCTGCAGTCTGTCGAGCTCCTGCTCAGTCAGCATGGTCACCGTGCTGCTTTGCTGAGCCAGGATGGAGGTGAGCACGGATTTGTTTCTCTGGATCTGCTTGATCATCTCCAGGGTGGAGTTCCATCTAGTCTGAGCATCCTGAACCAGTGCTTCCGTGTCATGTCCATGTGCAGCTTGCTGTGCATTTAATTCCTGAGCGTTCGCCGGACTATCCTCAAAATGTCCAACAATCTCGCGACATTTGGCCAGAACTCTTTCAAAGCCGCTGTCGTTCAGAGCAACTGTGATGGCACTGTGCAGAATGTGGGCCGTGCAGGGCATGTGTTCAAACGGAAGCAGGCTGGCCACATCGACCATGTTGCCATACAGCCACGCACTGTCGGTGCCGAGCGTGGTTAGCTTGTCCCCGATTTTCCACTCGTTTGCAACACTCAGGAAATGGTCAGCATAGTGTCTCTCTGCAGTTTTACTCACCGCTAGTGCAAACGACTGTAGAGCCCAGTCGTTATCAATAAAGTGCGCTGTGACGGCGCAGTAGTTATCGCTGTCCACCGACGTCCAGTGGTCTCCGGTGAGGGCGACGTTCATTGCTCCCAGGAGCGTGGTGTGCCGCTGAGCCCTCTGCTCCTCGTACACAGCGCGCAGTCTCGACACAATGGTTTCTGCTGAGGGCGGATTGTAGCACACGTCTCCCGATGCAGCGCGAAGGACTTCTTTCAGTCCGTCATCTTCTACCATGCTCGCTGGTCGGCAGCTTTTAGCTATCCAAACAACCAAGGCGCTGGTCAACTTTTCACTCACTTCTTCTGTTTTTAGCCCACGATAGTCCTGCGATTCAGCCGGGTGCTTGGCTCTCAGGTGATACCCCAGAGACGAATTGCTTCTGTGGTACCTGAACTCAGCTTCGCAAATCGTGCACGTTACTCTCGTTTTGTCCAACACGCCGTTGGGCAACTTCTTGAAGTAAAACTTTCCGCCCAAAGGTCCGTCCTTCTCCATGCTCGCGCCTGTTAGCTACAGTAGCATGGCAACGCTTCTTCTTCTTCTAATCATTTCCGGCAGGCCAAAGGCCAACATAGCACAGTGCTGCCCCCTAATGCTGAGCTGCTGAACACAGGAATATTTGGATTTCCTTCTTTTTCTCTGCTCATGTTCAACTTGTCTGATTCAAGCTGGGAATATTTATTAGAAACAAAGTGAATAATATTATTTTATTATCACGTTGATGCAGCACATGGTTCAGTTAGCTTTGTATAAACACGTGTTAGAAATGTTCTTCAATCAGCTCTTTTTACTCTCATTTCACAGCCACTACTTTTTACTTTTACTTGAGTAAAGAAGTTGAAACAGTACTTGGAGTATTTTTAACAGTAGTACTTCTACTTCAGTACACACTGTGTGTACTTTTACCACCTGTGTCTGAGACCTCCTTCAGGGTCCACCTGAAGCTCTCAGTCTGCTGTGGAAAAAGGAAATCCAGGTGAGTTTCTCCTGATCACCTGAGGCCGTCATTACTGTGTGAACCCACACACCACTCCTCACTCCTCCCACCCGCTGCACACAGTCACTGAGTACAGACCGGCTGATTCCTGTAAAGGGAGAGGCAGGAAGAGGCGGAGCAACACCTGAAAAACAAGAAGCTCAACGTCATTTTGCAGAAGTGAAAGTGTGAGAGAGCAGCAGCAGAGCTGCAGTCGAGTCCTGTTTGTCTCTAAAAGAAGATTCACTGGAGTCCATCAGGTTCCTCTCAGCAACAGTGGTGAGTGCAGCTGATCACACTTCCTGCTTCTACACAAATCTTCACTCTGTTCACTTCATCAGGACTCATCACAGTCACACTGGATCCATAGAAATCTGCTCATGTAACCACAGATCCACTGTAGGAGCATCGAGCTGCTGCTTCAGTCTCACTGTGGCTCTGCTCAGGACTGTGGACTCAGGCTGTGCTCTGGACTTCAGACTGACTCCACACTTCCTGGTTATTCATCACTTCCTGTTCCTCTTAGATTGATTCTGGATCTGATTGATCATAAGGATTACAGACGTGAAAACACCTATTTATTCTTTATTGATATAAAGCCTTTGATACTGTAAACCAGCAGATTTTGGTCAGTACTTCAAAAAGTCATTCACACATTTTACAAAGATTATCTGACTTAGTGTATCCTGTAAGAGTCACAGATGTTCCTCAATCATTCAGAAAACAGTCGATGCTGCACTTTATAACTTTGTGTGGAAACATGAATCTCATTATTTAAACAGATGTGTTTGAATCATCCTGATAATCAGGCTTTAAACATGTCAGAGTTCCACACATCAGCTGTGATATTCAAGCTGACCTGGATCAAACATGTCATCAGACACAAACATAGATGATGCTGTTTAATCCCAAAGCTTATTTAAACAAACTGGAGGACAGAATTCCTCCTTAAATGGGATTTTGATCAAATCCACTGGTCTCATTTTCACACACAGGCTTTATCATGGTGGCTTCTTCTCTACTAACATCAATCTTTGATTTGGACAAATTGTCACGTATAACTTTTAGTGAGATATCAGTATGTAACATCTTGTTGTACATTTTCTGTCACATCGTCATTAATCACACAAAGTCTTCATGTTCCAACAGGTCGGAGTCATCATCATCATTTGTCACGGCTATGTATGCACCAACAGTGGACAATATTATGCCAATAATCATGAGTTTTAGACATGGCAGTATACATGTTACAAAGACACAAAATAAAAGTAAAAGTATCCCAACTCCAATGAGTGGTCTTTTTAGCACCTGTAGCCAGGAGCCAGTGTAAAGCCAAGAAAACCAGTTGCTTAGTTTGTGGCTGTGGTGCATTTTGTATAGCTTCTTTTCTTTTGTTTAGTAGTTTTCTTCCTTCACTTGAGAGGGTGTGGCCTAAGTATGTTACTTCAGGTCTCCATAATTGGAGTTTATTCAGAGACACTTTGTGGACTTGCTCAGCCAGGTGACGCAGCACAACCATAGTATTCTGTTTACACCCTTCCTCTGTGTGGCCAGTCACTAAAATATCATCTACATAAAGTAGAAACTGTCCTTCTGCTGGCAGAGGGCAGGACATCATTGATTTCTTTAAAGCTTCAGCATAGAGAGTGGCTGTTTTGAAATCCCTGAGGTAACCTAGTATAGGTGTATCTCTGTCCCTCAAATGTGAAGCCAAACAGATATTGTGAGTTAGGATGTAAAGGCACTGAGAAAAAGGCGTTTGATAAATCTATCACTGAGAACCATTGTTCTTTTGGAGTGACTTGATTCAGTATAGTGTGAGGATTTGCTACTACTTGTGGTATCATTTCCATAATTTCATTTATTGCTCGCAGATCATGTACCAAACGATACTTTCCAGTATTAGCCTTCTTGACTGGGAAGATTGGAGTATTGCAGGTAGCAGGTTAGTTTTTATTAGAATTCCTGCTTTTTCCATGTCTTTTATCACTGGCTTAATCCCTTCTATTGCTTCCTTAGATAAGGGATACTGTGGTTTAATGGGCCTGTGGGATGAAATAGTCTGTACTTTTACCGAATCTGCGTTTTTTATTAATCCCACATCAGTTGGACCATCCGACCACAGTGTAGAAGGCAGACTTTTAAGTGCTGGCTCTTCTTCCAGCGAGAGAATTTCTCATTCTTGTGTGCTGTCGTGCAAATGAGTGTTGGGTGTCGTTTTTATCACCCAGCCAGTATATCTCATGCACCCTGTTCTTTTACCCTGTGCCCAACCCTCTTCTTCTGTAGGCGTATATTTATCATTTTCTACCTTTTGCAGGATTGTACCTAATTGATACCATTGTGTATCTGCTAACATTATTTCCGCTGTCATACCTGTTTCTGTAGGGATGACTCCTATCCCTAATTTTGTCATTGCATCTCTTCCTAGTAAGTTCACTGGGCAGGTTGGGTCTATGATACATGGCATGTTACAGGAGCGTTGACTGGGTTTATGCAAAAATGTCAGTGGCATTGTTAGTGGCTGGGTTTTTACATGCCCTGATGCTGTTTTCACCATTACTACTTCTCTAGAAAAGGTTGTGCG